GCTTTACTTCTGTGACCCCTTCACTCACTCAGTTCCAGATATTAGATCCGTGGAAGCCATCTCATCATCCCCACATTTTAAAGCACTTAAAGAACTGACAAATATTTTTAATCATTCCCTTTTCTCTCCAACTTTGTCATTCAAATATAAACTTAATGCCCCACAGACTGTTGTGAAAATTTAATGGCATTCCAAATATGCATGGCACTTGAGAAAGTGTTCATTGATACCAATCCTAGCAAACAGCATTTCCAGGTGATTATATTGCTTGGTATAAACATGCCATTGGTAATTAGAATTTCCTTTTGTAAATCATCAAAATCCATGTAATTCCCAAAATGTGGTGAAATAGCAAGTCACTGACTATGTAGTCTGCTTGCCTGAGAGATTTATTTCACTGAGTATTTCCTGAAATCAAAGGACTGTTCTGGCTTTGGAATCCTCAAGTGATTGCTGACATGATTTAAATTTCCAGTGGAAATAGTTGAATAAAGGACTTGAAATATGTAATTTTTTCTCTTAGGAGCTTTCACTGATTTAAAATGATGTCATTTCTCTCTGGATTCTCCCCCTTTTGGGTCTTACGTACTGAATGGCTGCTCACCATGGGCAAGTCTCTATTCTCTCCCTACTGTAATCTTTTCTGTGAGAAGAGATCTTTAAATTCAAGTTTATGTCTTTTCTACATCATGCAGAAAATGTAATATTAAATAATTTATTCTCTTTGACATTTTCCAAAATGTTGCAAACTGTCTGATCATCACATATTTGTTATGAAACCAATTTGATTATGCTGTCATTAATAGGAATGGGAGTTTTAGGAAAGGCATTGATTTTTATAATGCTTATGCAAATAACAGAAGCCCAACTCTACAATGCGAAAGGATTTTCTTCTCTTCCAAGTATTCATCTATTTGTCAACAACAATCAACAATCAAAGCAGCATATTTCCTGAGACAGAGACATACGTGGGGGCTGGGCATGGGGAAGACTCATTTCATAAGCACAGAATGAAAATGGCAGTGATTGGATCATGATAGAACAAATGGTTTTCTTCTGGCAAATGTGTTAGATATGGCTGAAAAGAAATTGGTTTTAAACTGGGAATGAGCCACTGCATATAGGTGATAGCAGTAGATTTGGGAATGAAGCTGATTTTCCCTAAAGTAGATGGGGTACCTAACTACACAGATGGCAGCTAAGCACAACAATGTCATTTTATGAGGAGGGGGAAAATATATAGGAAACAACCAAGTGTCCATTACATAAAATGTAGTTAAAAGACATAAAATGGAAGATAGGGGAAAGTACAGAATTAAAGAAAGATTTCTTGGAGGAAAAGAGGAGTATTGTGATAACATTACCTCTGAAAGAAAAAAAACACAGAAAACAAAGAAACAGAAGGAAAAAAAATACATAATTGGAAAAGATGGAGTTCAAGTATAAGAAAGAATACAGAATTAACCCAAGATACTGATTTCTTGATTTTTGTTTTTCGTGAAGGCTTTCCAATTTGGATTTATCTCCTAATGAAGCACTTGAAAAATAAAATTTTGCTAAGATTGTTTTCAATCTAAAGGTGAAGCTGGCTGATAGGAGAACTTGGTGTTCCTTCATAGATTTTTGACCAGTGAGTTACGATGGGTCTTCAAAAATTTCCTAGGAAATTGATATTATGAAAAATATCTTATGCATGGATATCAAAAGATTTAATGCCAGAGCAAATTTATGTTTTAATTCTATATTTCACAGTCTTTTGAAATACTTTCATGTCTGACATATCTCTTTTCTGTCTACTAATGTATTGCAATAGACACTATTATTAACACTAGTCATGTCTAGTTTAGTTCTGAAAGATTTGCCAGAATGAGGAAGTGCAATAACTAGGAAGAGTTTTCAAGGAATATGCACTTAAGCAGATTAAATGCAATTTGGTCCTTCTTTTAAAGTAAAAAGATACTGGCTGTTATGTCCTATCTACTTCCCAGGATGCTGTGAACTCCTTTGGTTGGCAGTCATAGTCTACAATCCCATTTGGAGGAGACTTAATAATGGAAAAGATTTTATCTGCTAGCCATTTGCTGTTGTAGTTAACATTTAGCAGGTTTTTGTTAAAACAGTAGACAATCTTGATTAAAGTAGTCTCTTTGATCACAAATGTTGTAATATTATTCTCTTACTTCAAACATCTGGTTTTCCAAAATTGTATTTTTATCATCTGTTAACAGGGATAGGAGGAAACTTTCCACTTAATCACAAAAGTTCACTCCAATTGCTAAAGAGACTCAGATTTCTAATAGTTATGTATTAAAAAGAGATTTGAGAGGACAATAAATAAGCATACAGGATGCTGAGAAAGTATTTCTGATTGTTGGAGATTGTAAATAATGAATAGGTATTCTCCAGGTCTTCTTAGTAAATAATTTGAGTAATGATCTAGTGGTGTCATTTGAATACATTATCTTTGTGCCCCAAACTACAAAATACACACCTGAGTTCAACGATTGAGTATAAAAACGAACATTAAAGGTCTCATCAGTCATTTTAATATGGATAAATTTTTGAAATAATACTATTTTAAAAGTAATATATGTAAATGCGTTATTAAAATTAATAGTTACATTTGGTTATATAGTGTGGCTAACAGAAAACTTAAAAATTATGTAGTTGGACCTTATAATCTAATGAATAGCATTTTCTATATCCTTCACTTTTTTTTATCCTTCAGAATGGAGTGCATACTGAAACAACAAGCCAAAATCTCAAGATAAACAGGTCACCTAGCATTACACAATTGAATGTCAGGTGACTTCTTCCAGGTTGAGAAAAACAGGAATAGAAAACAAACATCATGTCTAAACCATCACCAGTTGCAGCACACAGCATCTCTGAAAATATCGAATTATGCTCCTTAAGAGGAACATGTAACTTTGAACTAGTGTGTTGTTACGGGCCCAAGAGAAAAGAGAGAGGAACGTGCAGACAGATACCAAGTATCTTGTTTATCCAGATTCTACTCCTGATCCATGGGTTGTTTTAAGGGTCTTGCATAGATGCTGCAGCTGCCTCCATGACCCAGAGTTGAGTAGGTAAGAAACAATTTCTCCCACGGTCTTCTGGAGTCCTCAAATTTGGAGTATAGTATTCCTTTATGCTCCGTAAACACATTAAATAGTTTTAGAGACATATCACTTCCAATTACATGAAAGATCAAATGGAGTGAGGGAGAAAGGGAGTGGGAGAGGGAGAGAAACGGAGAGAGAGAACATGCCTTTCCCAGCATCAGTCATGAAACCAGATCAACTGAAGCCACTGGAAACAAAGCTGTGTCCTCAGATTTTTGAGTGCTAGATGACATCCATCGTTACCATATCACTCATACCAACTTTAATTGATATGGTGACATTAATTGTAACTGTCACTTCTAACTAGTTCTCTGCAGAGTTCATGAAATTCTTGATTGTACTGTAGAGTACTTTTGTGTTTTGATGACATGGTTGAGATTATTTATTCAGTCAAGTACACTTCAAATTTAAGTGTTCTGGTCACAAAGAATTTTGGGGGAAGACTTTTATGGATATAAATGAGAACAAAAATTCTAAATGAATAAATATTGCACTCTCATACAAGTTAATGCCCATTGACATGTATGAGAGCTGAATGGGATATAGGAAAGAATGGACCAGCCTGTTGTACATACTGGCAAGCATGGGAACTGGGGCAGGGGCGGGCCTGGTGGGGGTTATTGCAGGTCGCTCCAACTAGGCTGCAGCTCCCACTGGTTTGCATGAGGGTCGAGTGTGTGCTGGGCAGGATCAGGCTGGACTGCAACACCCATTGGTTTGTGTAGAAGAGAGGACTGGAGGTAGAAGTGACCCAGCAATTGCAACCAACAGCATATGCATAATCTGATTGGGGCAATGGACTGTGCCAGACCCTGTATTGGCAAGCACACACAAGAATAAGGTCTGGGATCACCTCAGATGAAGTTTTTATGGAGATTCCCCCCAACTGAGTTGCTGGACTCAGAGCCCCAATCATAGAGAAAATTACAGGTTCTGTTGTCTGACAGAGCAGTGCCTGTGTCAGAGCTGGGCCTCCTCGATGGCTTAGACGGAATAGTGGGCAGCACACCCAGGTGCACTTGGAGGAAATGACAGTCCATTGGAACCTATAGAGGACACCTGGTACCACAATAGTAGATGGAGGACAGAACTAATCAATCAAGTGCTCCAGCCGTGTGTTGGCACTGAAAATCTGGGCAAATGGAGACACTAAGGTGGATTATGTCAACTAGTGGATTCTGAAGAGATTTCATCGTGCTTGGAGTGGTGAGATCGGCAGTAATTTGGAACTGCTGAACTATCAAAACCTCTTGAGCAGGAACCTCAGAGCATGCCCCACATTGGGGACCCTGGGGTGGGGTTGGGTGGCTGTCCTCCATCCCAGGGTGCAGAGGCATTTGGGAGGCTGGGTGTGGCTTCTCTCCTTGTCTTCCCCTTCCCCCAGATACAGGAAAGAATAAAGAGCATATGGAAACAATGATCTCACCCCACCTTCCTGTAGCCCTTGACCCTAATCACCCTAATCAATTATGTAAATATCATTAAAAATAAAAATAACTAAGAATTTTACAAAAAGTACATGGCTTACCTCTGTTTTTAGATATATCCTGGTCTGACAATCAGCAATATTTTGTGAGAAAAGGAATTTGTTTATATAGCTAAAATTAAATTAATTTAAATCAAATTACATTTAAAATTATTTTATATTATACATTTTAATTATTTTATAATTAGCTTCAAATAAATAGCTTGACTGGTGATTACAAATCAGGTTTAGCATCAGGTGACTGATGTTATAAGCTAAGCTAAGTTATAAGAGAACTCACATCCACAATTTTTTAAAACATGGAAATTATTACATGTGGGTGTGCTTCTGTAAAGAATGCAATATGTAGTATCTAAAAACTCTGCATTGAGACCGCTACTGTATCATTTAATTCTTTATCCAGCTTAAAGAGATAAATACACCAACGGTTAGCATAATTGTTGCCTTGTCTCTCTTACCATAAGCAAAAGGAATGAATAGATTGTTTGGATTAATTGTGTAATATGTAGAACTCATATTTGCTATCTTGCAATGAGTATTTTGTATATGATATCTTGCAGATATGTGATTAAATAGGTATAATTTACAAGCAAAATGAAAACACACACATTTAAATCTTCATGCTTTGCCTTTGAAACTTCTGGTTGATTTACAAGCTTTTCAAGGCTATCAAGCAATGAAAAAGTTTTATGGTTAAACATATTTAGCTAATGTTCACTTCTGAGCCAGTCGCCCTGTGGCATTTTACATGCTGCTTTCATTTTTTCCGTCTGTATTTTTTCTCATCCAACTTTTTTAGAAATGTTATTCCTATTTCTGTCACACTGTCACCTTTCAGTTTGTCTTGCAAGAATGTGACATCAGCAGCCAAGTGAACCTAGGAAAGAAAAAATATTAAAAAGGGGCCTGTGTTACTCAGTTTCTTCTTGTTTTTTTAAAGAGAACTCTCAAATTTTTCTGTCTCTTTTTACAACTGTATGTACTGTCCTGTGGATGGAGAGCGCTTGCCTCCATGTTCTCCACAGATGGTCTGGCCATGCCTTAGTGCTGTGGTACAAATCTACAGAGTGATCCAGGCAAGGTGCAGCCCCACTGGTTGGGATACCCAGACGTGGGAGCTTGTACCAAGGTTTGCTCACAGTGCAGAACTGAACCACTCAAGAACACGAATTCCCCACCCAAAACATTAGCCTGTACTTGATGTGCTTGGTCCAACACAACATCCAAGGAAAGATTCCTCTTGAAATGCACATAAATCATTATTATGTCTTTGGCTCAATAATATAATCGCTTCTCCTAAAAGCATTCAGCAATCACTTATGGCTTTGAGAGCTTTGAGGATGCATCCAACTAAATAAATTATAAATACAAAAGTAAAGATTGAAGTTATGGACATGCATATTTAAAACCCCGGTCTACTTCACCTCAGAAAAGCATTTCCCCATTTCCCAGACACCAAAATAAACCCTTGGGGCTTCTTCTCTATTCATTAACATGTGTCCACATAGCAGCAGCATGATTTTGCTGCCTTACCTTCAACAGGGGATTTATTCTGAATCATTTAAGATAACTAGGATTAATAATATAAATAAATAAGAGTGCCTAGTAAAACCGAGTATGTGAAAAATGACTGAATTCAGTAGACAAATAATTAATAAATTTGAATCTTTTATTTCACCCTCAAACCCACCCTTTTTTCAGTAAGGATTTCTGACAACCCAGACTGGATTTCTGAAACCACAGCTCCCAGTGTGCCAAATTATCTGGCACATACAAGGTGCAAAACACCATCCGATGCCTATCACCCTATACATGTGGATTTCACCTGGAAATACAGATGCTAAATTCATCTTCAACTTTTCCTTCCATGAAATTTTTCTATGTCTTCATCAAACCTTACCAGAAAATCAACTAGAATAATATTGACACTACGTTACTATGTTGAAGTTACCTGAGTATTTGGGTGTACATGAAGTCTGAAATCTGCCAGTCATTATATACAATCAACTGTTATCCAAGAACATTCGAAATCTCTTTATCCTATCTTTGACTTGGTCTTATGGCTTCTCTCTTTGTCCATTAGCTCCTAGAATTCTTCCTTTCTCCTTCCTTGCCCAGGAGACCACAGGATAAGACTAAATAAATGGTGGAGTAGAGGATCTACGTGAACACATTATTTTTGTTGTGTTATAGTTTATGTTACCTGGTACTCAAATACCTCATAATTATTACAAATTGTTAAAAACTATGTGTTCGAACCATTATTGGGCTAAGTTAGTAAATGCTTAGAGCTTGGTTGCTATCTGGCAGTAACTATCTTAACAGCTAAGCTTCTGGAAAAGCAGACTTTGTTTACCATTTGCTTTTCCTAAACTGTGACTGGTTCATTAGTTTACCTGAGATTGTCTTCTCTCTCCACTTTTCTTATCTAGCTTCAATCAAAACCTTCCCCGAGCTTTTGGTCTCTAAATAATAATAATCGTTGTTGTTGTTATAAGCTCTCTACTGTTCTTGATGTGCCAACCATTTCTCTTAACACACTGTTCTACCTGTTTCTGTCACTTTATTCTTTCCTACTTATAGTTATTCCCACTTACTCACTTTTACTGCCCTTGTATTCCTGATTTAACCTACTCATGATATTTTGTTGTTTCATAGGATTCTGTGGTTCTCTTTTCTTCTTGTTTTGCAAACTTTCCCAGAGCTTTTTAAAAAAATTTTTTGGGCTGGGTTGAGTGTCTATTCAGCCCACATATCTCTGGGTTCAGAAATATAATAAACAAATACTTACTGGATAGCCTTATTTTTGCATGTATTAGACATTCCAAACACAACAGAATCAAAATTCTTTCACTCTATATCTTCCAATTTTCTTGCACTTCTCACTTTTCTTTCTTGTTTAATAATACAACACTCCCTACACGTTGTTTAGACATCTAAAAGTCATGCCTGAATCTTTGTCTCAATCTTTTTCCTTTTAGTCAAATTACAACCTCATCTTGTCTGTCTACCTTCAAACTATTGTTCAAACAGGCCTTTTTTTCCCTTTTTTCTAATCATGCTCCTGTAGAGAATTTAAACCTCCTTTCTCAGGACAACCCCTCTTTTTATCTGCCTGTCAGTCAAATTCTTCAATTCAAATTCTTGTTTCATTGAATGAAATATTGCTTTTGTGCCTTAGGACATGCTGGTTTTTCTATCTAGAATGTACTTTTCTCCTGTTTCTCTTACCCAAGACCTTCAGCTAACTCCTATTTTTCCTTCAAATGTCAATTCAGAGTTTCTGTAGGAAATGTTTCCATCCCTGATCCTCTCAAAGCCTTTCATTATATTTATTTACACATTTGACTTTTCCATTAGACAAAGGAATCTGACAGCACCGTGTCATGCTCAGCACCTGACACTTACCAGATGCTAATTGTCTAGTTAAATCAATGAATAATTCAAGTGTGGAAGCTAACCTCAGTGATCCTCACTTCCTGTCATTCACTCCCTCGGGCAAGGGCCCTCCCACATTACACCAGGATGGCCAGCACAAGCTGCTGTGTTATGATTGGGGCTAAAAAGAGGTCTATGTGGCAAGGAACCCCATTCAGTCTTGAGCCAACCACCAGTCAGGAACAGAGACTTGGTGAGTGATCTTGGAAGTTAGATTCTTCAGTCTCAGTGAAATCTTCATAGGCTGTTGTCATGGCCAACAATTTGACTATGTGTGAAGCCATGGGAGACTCTGAACCACAACCACCCAGCCAAGGTGCTCCCAGATTTCTGATCCTCTGAAACTGTTAATTTTAACCTACCACATTTGGATACACAATTTGATACACAACATTAGATAACTAATACACCAAACAAATGAAGCATGTTCTTTACCATTTCCAGGGCACCTCTGATAATCCCACAGAGTAAATTGCAGTAGCACAGAGAAGATCGCCCAGCAGGGAGCTCTTCCACAAACTCCGCCAGAGGATTCTTATCCAGAATCAGGGAAAATTCATTTCTGCTTGAACTGTTACAGGTCACAGTTGGTGTAATTCCCAAGTACATCTTGAAAGCAACCTAATAATGAGAAGAAATTTTATCCTGAAACTCAACCTAGAACATGTATGTACATATATTAATAGGGCAACCAAATACTGAGTTACAGGCATTGTAGCACAATGGTTAAGCACCTGAGGTCTGCAGTCAGAAAATCTGGTTCACACTTAGATTTGCAATGTGCTGACTATATTTTTTATAGTTTTATAAAATATCCTAAAGGACTAGTTTTCAACAGAAGCATTACTTTATGAAAGATGCTTTAAGGTATTTTTAAAGGCCTTTAAAAAGATGGGTATCATTTTGGATAGATATTTATACTATTAGTTATAAACATATTGGCATGACACTTGTCACATTGATCTGGAATTAGAAGAAAGCTAGGGACTCATATCCACAATAGAAAGATAGTGACTAGAGAAGAGAACGCTACAAACAGATTAGACTCAGGCAAGTGTTTTGGTAAATGGGGAGAAAGTCTGAGATGGAGCAAAAGGAGGTGGTGTGAGGCACAAAAACTAGTGACAAGGTAACTTCTCAAAACAAAAGAAAATGTTTTTTTACAGAGTTTAAAGCATTTTATCAGGTGGAATCAGAGAAAGTAGCAGATTTTCTTCTACTTGCCAGGTTTCATTAATGAATAAACTGGTATTCAAGCAAGTAAACACAACCAAGTCATACTATGGCTCCTTGCTCTTAGTCTTAGTCTAAGGCATTTTTAAAAATTTTCTTTTTTTCTGGGCCCGGCACGATGGCGCAGTGGTTAAAGGTCCTCGCCTTGCATGCCTGGGATCCCATATGGGCGCCGGTTCTATTCCGAGTGGCCCTGCTTCCCTTCCAGCTCCCTGCCTGTGGCCTGGGAAAGCAGTCAAGGGCGGCCCAAAGCTTTGGGACCCTGCACCTGCGTGGGAGACCCTGAAGAGGCTCCTGGCTTCGGATCGGCATAGCATCGGCCCGTTGCGCTCACTTGGGGAGTGAATCATCGGACGGAGGATCTTCCTCTCTGTCTCTCCTCTCTGTATATCTGCCTTTCCAATAAAAATAAATCTTTAAAAAGATTTTTTTTCTTTTTTTCACAAAACACGTGAGGTTGGACTGTGACGTTTACTAATGAAATTCACCAGCTTGGTATGTTGTCATCTTTTAAATGCCTTAATTAACATAATTTTAAAAATTAAGAGCTGTGTAGAGGAGAAACAGAAACAATTTGCTTAGGTTATGTACAATTTTAAGAACTAAAATGTTCATGAACTAATTCAGTCATATTTGCTGTCTAGCATAGTTTGCTGGTTCAAATCAGGAGGCCAATAGCCTCTTGGAAAAAAAAAAAATCGATGAACATTCATTCTGTGTTTGACAACACGTTTAGACCCAGAGTACATGAATATAAACATCTGCGAGGTAGACAAGGTGAGGGCTTGAGGTGGGACAAAACAGTCTAGGAAGTAGCATCATGTCATGGCACTAAACGTATCATGAGGTTCGGGAGAGGTCTAAACTCATCCCAACACAGGCAGCGGTAAGCCCCAGCTGTGTGGAAGCCTTACACAGAATCAGCTTTAGAATGAGCGGGGTCTCACTGGAGTCAGCATGGAAGGAGTCAGGCCTGCGGAGCGGGGCAGTGGTTTGCCGACTGAAGTCAGAGATTTAGTCAGGCGGTTACTATGAAAGCCTGGGAAAGAAATGATAATTTGTCTCCTCCCATTTTTCCGTCCAAAACCCATTTCCTCTTTAGACTGCTCTGTTTCAAATGTCATAAATCCTAGACGATGGTTCAAGTGGCTGACCCTAGGCAGTTTAAGAAATGAGTATCTATTTTCTAGATCTTAAGTTATAGCAAGAGGAAAAAAAGCTACCATGGAAAACTCCTGGTTCAGAGGGAGGCTCCAGTCAACTGGCTAAAACCCCTGCTGCTACTGTTGCTTCCTCCTGCTGGAAAATTCCTAGAGTAGCATTTGTATGAGTGTATGAGTGAGAGTTTTTTTTCTTCCTTTCTTTCTTTTTTTTTTTTTTTTTCTGATTTTCAAACCAAGCCACATGGAAATAATATTCAGTCTATGCACTTTAATTTGCCTCTCATTCTCATGGTCTTGTATCCACCAGTAGGAGGCATTATCTGAACGCTATTGAGAAATACTCATTCCTAGGGAATGACATTGTTTCTTTAGCTGGCTGAATTCAGTCTGAGAAGGAGGACTGTTGTTTCTAATGAAGGAAGAGCTCCACCCTCGGCCATTGCCACAGCGGCTGTGTAAATAACAACGGCAAAGCATTCTCCCTCTCCGCGTATACCAACATGGATGCTTTCCAGAGCATTTTAAAATTTTTCCTTAATCAGAAAACTGTTATTGGCTATAGCTTCATGGCCCTGCTGACTGTGGGAAGCGAGCGTCTCTTTTCACTTGTGGCTTTTAAGTGCCCCTGCAGTGCCGAGAACACCGCCTACGGGCTGGTTTTCCTCTTGGCTCCAGCCTGGGTGCTACTGATCCTGGGATTCTTTCTGAACAACAAGTCATGGAAACTCTTCACTGGCTGCTGTGTGAATCCCAGGAAAATCTTTCCAAGGGGTGACAGTTGCCGTTTCTTCTATGTCCTTGGTGAGATTACTCTCAGTTCATTGGTGGCTCCTGTGATGTGGCTCTCTGTGGCTTTGCTCAATGGAACTTTTTATGAATGTGCCATGAGTGGGACGAAAAGTTCGAGACTCCTGGAAATGATTTGCAATGGCAAACCAAAAGAGTGCTGGGAAGAACTTTACAGAGTATCTTGTGGCAAAACAAGCATGCAACCTATGGACACCGAAGAACTGAAATTGTCCCTTCAAGCCCAGTCTCAGGTAAGAAAGGCCAGCCCTTCCTTTCTCCCCCAGTATGAACTTCAATGATTTTATCATCCTTTCAGTTAGGGTTGCATCTGACAGGAGAACAGAGAGAATATTTTGAACCTAAATAGAAATTGGAGCTTGATGAATTATTAAGACAATCCTGGGGAAAGCTTTTAAGAAACTGGATTGCACAGCAAATTTGCTGATTGGATTATGTATTTTGTATTTTCAAAAAGATATTCTCTCTGAGTTATGTATATGGAAGAACTGAAGTATTTTCATGCAAGCTTTCTTGATTGATTTCGTAAATATTGCATAATACTAAGTTGTACATTAAGTACTCATAGCAGAGCTGTAATTTAGAATGACTATTTTCTATTATGTATTTATTTTCAGGTGGATTTCTCAGAGAAACACCACATACATTGATCTGTTAAAATATAGCTGAATCCAATGGTCTAATACTTTTCAAAGTGGCAGTTAACTAGATTAGTGTAGTGATTCCCTTATATGATTTCCTCAAACCTATATTCCTGTGTAAAAACATAAAAATTGGGAAGAATTTCCCATACAAAGTGGGACCAGAAGTATTTAAATAGAATTTGGTCAAAAGTGATCCAGGCAGATTAAGTCCTTTTTTTTTTTTTCCTGTATTGCTAAAAACAAAGTCTTAGTAATGTATAGTGATGGAGTTCTGGGGTCTATCATATGCAGATGTGGGGTATAATGGAACATGCATCCCTGCAGCCAGACAAAAGATGGATTCCCAATGAAACTCTTGGACATGTGCAGACAATGGGATGCTGGACTCTCTGACATTGTTTGTACCAACAATGTCGGGGTACACTTAAATAAGAGACAGAATTATGACTCCTTATGAAGGACTATACTATTGTAACCAAATGGGAAAAATTTGACGGGGGGTGGGAGTTTGGGGGAGAATCCAAGCCTATACAAAATTGTACCACATAATTCAAAATTCAAAATAAAAATATATTAAAGGTAACAAAAAAAAGAAAAATTTTCACCTGAAAAAGTCTTTATATCGTTTAAGAAGCTCAGGATTTGGGCCATTATTCTATTTTCCTTATGGCTGTAGATAGGGAAGTAGTATGTTGTCCTTCCTAGTACGTGAACACATTCCAGATAGAGAACCTGCCCCATCCTCAGAAAAGGACTGGCTTCCTATTTGTGACTGGTAGGAATCTGTGATCCACAATTTGTTAGGAATGCTATTTGTTTCATAATAAATGCATAGTGAATGCTCTTTCAATAGGATTTACCTTTATAACAATGCATTGTGATATGGTCTATAAAAGTGAGCTCACATAAAATCTTAGAGAAAATGCATTAGGCTCCCAAATACTTACTGTTTTGCCTTTTTTTTTTTTAGGAGGCAGGCATTGATTACAATATGATAGAATTTATGATTTACAGTGTGGCCTCAGGCACTAAGCTCCATTTAATCAGTGTCAGTTCCAACACTCAACTGCATGAGTATGAGTTTTCCTTTTGTAAACAAAGGCATAAGGAATCATGCACATCCTGCATAGTTTAGATTGAGCACACTGACCAGGTGACTTTTCAGCAGAATGAAAAGGACCTGGGGCTGATTGCTATGGGAGCATGCCCAAGGAATGTGGACAAGGTTAGCTGTTGCAACAGCAGGTGCTGACCACAGAGATTCACAATCAGGAGCAGCGGAGTCCAACCAACAGTTGAGCATGTGGATTGGAATGGAAAAAGTACATTCTTCCCTGGGTGAGGCAAAGGAACACGAAATCCAGCTGAATGACTCTCTATTCTTAAGGAAGGTAGAAAGTAGTAGTGGAAGGAATTCAAGCTTGGAGCCGGTCTTGGGTATGAATCCTGATGCTACTACTCATCAAATATGTCACCTAGAGCTAATTGCGTTCCACCTCGCTGAGCACGAGATTTCTCTTCATGTAATAACACCTACTTTGGAGAGTTGTTGGAAAATTCATAGGTATAATGGACAGAAATGGGCATACAGCTTCTCGTATTTAGCAGGTATTTCAAGTTGATGAACAAATCACCAATGTTTGGGAGAGTAGACTTTCACATAATGAACACTATTGACAGCTAGAGTGGGAGGATCCCCCATGCTCTAGTTTGACTGTGGGTGGTGTAAACTGAGAGGAGGGTGAAGAAAGGCCAAGCTAAAATCATGCTTGAGGGAATGGAGGATCTGAAGTTGACCAGCCAGTTCAAAATTCAGCTAAACTTGGTTCAGATACTCAGCTGAAATGGTCTGTAGGAGACCTAGCTGTGCATTAATATGGTAGAAGATGAAGAAGAAAACAAGTCTTAGGTACTACTCACAACCCCACAAATGACACAAGGTAAATATGGGAATTTCTGCCTGAAGGTATTTATTCCTCAATCAAACTTAAGTACAAAAAATGAGTTCAGTCAACAAAACATTATATAAATGTACATGTGAAAATAGGTAATGCTTACAGAATGCACATGTATGTTCTGCCTCATTTCACTGGATCCTCAAAGTTGTTCCTGAGGTATGTAACCCCTCTTTCAAAACTGAGGCACAGGGAACTGTCACGGTAAGGAAATGCTGGGATTTAACCCAAGAAGTGCCAACCTGCAAATCTTTCCCAGGACACCCACATCTGAGTCACATTGATAACAATGGACCTACACTTTATTTGGCAGCTGTTTCATTTTGGAGAATATTGTTTCTGTTTTTAAACAGGCCCATCTGCTGAGGAATACAAAGGACCACTTAAAGTAAAAGCTACAACACATTTTCAGAGAGATCTATTAGTTGTCCAAATATAAAAACAATTCCAGTAAAAAAAAAATACAGAATCAGAACAATGAAAAATCTTTTAAGGTAAAAAAAAATAGCGGAATCATTTAAACTCAGAGAAGAGATTGTTTTTCTAATAACCAAAATTCTGAACAAACAATCCTCTTAATTCGAAACAATTCTATTAGTTTCCAGTTTTCTCACGAGCTTTGGATTCCTGTATCTTCAGTGTGTTGTATTCTCTGCCACAATGGGCAGTGAGTAATGATGGTGCTGCTCTGGGCAAACAAAATGATTCAAGGAAGTTCAGCTACTGGCCATGTGCAAGGGTACCTCAAAAATATTTATGAAAACTTGAATGAGAAGATAATTTTGGTACAAAACTTTGCACTGAACATTTTCTTTTCATGCTATCAATTCCACAAACTTCTTGAAATTCCCTTGTTTATGTCTTTATCATTGCCAAAGAACATTGGCTAAAAAATCGGTCATTTACTTAAATGATCACACTTACACAGATTCTTTCCATTGATGTACAATATTATTTGAGAACCTGCTTTACCTAGTTTTGGGGTAATGTATCCTCCTTTTTTTCTCTCTCTTTTCCAATATCTTTTCCACTGGTCTGTCTTCTGGTTATTTCTTTGAACATCAGAAATATTGGATAGGAGAAAAGACCTCAGTATTTTGAGAAATACTAGAATAGTTTGAAAAATGCTTTTTAAATTAAGATAAATGACTTCAAATGAGGTGTGACAGTGACTGTGGAATGAATTTAGTTATTCACTTCCCAAATGACATCACCTCAGCGTCTTAGGAGTGACTTTGCATTTATTTGCCCTTTATATTTCTTTAAGATTCTAGGATGGTGCCTGATTTGTTCCGCATCTTTCTTCTCACTGCTCACCACTTGTTATGCTCGCTGCCGATCTAAAGTAAGCCACCTTCAGCTGAGTTTTTGGAAGACGTATGCACAAAAGGAGAAGGAACAGTTGGAAAATACGTTTCTGGAATATGCCACCAAGTTGAGTGAGAGGAACCTGAAGTGCTTTTTTGAAAACAAGCGGCCTGAGATCTTCCCCATGCCTTCTTTTGCTGCCTGGGAGGCAGCCTCACAGCTGCATTCATTCCACCAAAGTCAGCAACACTACAGCACTCTCCACAAGGTGGTGGAAGATGGATTGGAACCTACCTCTGGGGATGAGGAGACAACCATGATTCTTGTGGGCAGCGCCCAAAATCTGTAACTCATCCCTCATCCCTCATCTCCGACTCGTAGTGTTAAGTGCTATGTGCACTTAATCATCCTCCTACTGTGTCAAAAACAGCCTTTTCTCTTGGGTTCCCCACCTTTAGAGTTTCTTTACAAGAAAATAATACATGGAGAAACTGTTTTGATACACTCAAGTGCAGTGTAGGATGTGTTCAAACTGATGCCAAGAGGTGTCAAAAAGTTGTTCTTCACTGGGGGTGGGTGGGCACAGTAGGTCTAAATGTCTCTACAAAAGACATGCAAGAGGTTCTGTTGCTCTCTATAAATATTCATCATGATGTGTGAGGACAGAAGCAATGGCTTGTGAGTGAGCCAGAGACTCCTGTCACAGAGAGCAGAAGTTCTTGTCCTCTGAATCTCATTGTCTTTCACGAATATGTACATTTGTAACGTTTGGAATTCATTCCCCCAAAATCTGAGTACTCAAAAACAAACAAATGAAAGTATATCATGCTTCAAATTCTGAGTTTTTCCCATGTGTTCATGCTCTATCCTGAAACTGTTCCTGGAAACAGGCCTAGATCATGAATTTGGTGGGTTCAGGCCACTTCTGACTTCATGCATCACTTTCTACAGTAACAATAGTTAAATAAATAAATAAGTAAATAAATAAAGGATGTATACATGTCTATAGATATTTAAAGATGTTACACACACATACAGATAAATATAGACAGACCTGGCTTTATATGATGTGTTGATGAAAAGATATTACTCTATATTGAAATTTTATTCATTCGAAAGGCAGAGCTGTAGAGAGAGATAGAGGAAGAGAAAAAGAAAAGAGCGAGCGAGAGAGAGAGAAACAGAGAGAGAGAGAAAGCTTCCATGCACTAATTTACTCCCCCAATGGCCACAATTGCCAAGATTGGGCCAGGTGCAAGCCAGAAGCTGGGAGCTTATTTCTGGTCATCCAAGTGGGTACAGAGGCCTAAGCACTTGGGCCATCTTCTGCTGTTTTTCCAGGTCACTAGCAAGGAACTGGATCAGAATTGGGGTAGTCAGGTTTGAATCCATGCCCATATGGAATGCTGGTGCCATAGGCAGCAGCTTAACGCACTTCATGGGCCACTGACACACTTTCTTCAACCCAAAGTTTCAACTGTTTCCTCTAGGTTTAAGAGATTGTAAAAGTTTTTGTGTACACTAAGGCATCATGCCCATTCTTCTGTCAGCATAAATATATATTTAATTTATATTAGTCCTTTGTGCTACTGTAATAACACCATATACTGGGTGATTTTTATTTAGTGGAAGTCTGTTTCTCACAGTCCTGGATGCTGGGGAGTCTGACTGAGATCAGGGTGGTTTTAGTGAGGGCATTTTTCCAGGGCCCTTTTGCAGACTGCTGATTTCCCACTGTGTCCTCACACGGTGATGAGGGCAAATCAGTCTCCATGGACATCTCTTATCAGCGCACCAATGCCATTCCTGGAGGCTCTGCCCTCGGGAGTAAGTTCTTTCCCTCAATACTGTCCCTTGAAAGTTAGAATTTCCAACATTCAGCCCATAGAAAGGTAAATGGACCCTAACTGCAGGTCTGGGACATTGTCCAAATTATTACTAGCATGAGATTCTTTTGTGGTGTCATGTTTATTAGCCAGTGGAAAATTGATTTGTACTGTATAATATGCTCATAATGGTCTATGTGCATATATGTAAATTCTCCTTAAATCACTGAGTGGAACTGTATTTTGAGAAGAGGGTTGTGTTTGCACCATGACTCATAGTTTATATCACTGGCAGTCTGTGGCTCCTGGCTTGAGAAAGCTAGATGCTGGCTTCTTAATTCCGTGAGACATGATGACAAACTGAGTGAAGAACACTGTAGATCCAGGACAACAGCATATCTGTGAGGAGAAGGGGACCCGGAAGAATCACGGGTTTGTTGTCAAGTCAGACAGAAATTGCAAGTAACCTGAGAACTTACTACTTGATCTTGCATCTCAAGTCAGAGCAGTCTTGTGGGACTGAACCCTTAGCCTTTTTGGGGTCTGCACTTCAGTTAGTGCTTGAAGTGATCAGAATTATAAGACAGCTGAAGATGTGGGAGAAATCGTCCGTGTGGGACAAAATCTACACAATCGGTGCCTGATTAAACTTGCAATGCTTAAATTGCTTAAATTGCTTAAATGCTTAAATTGCTTACCTACAGGCTTTCCTTAGCTGCCTAACATTCTAATGAGGTAGGTGAATCAGGGAGCCGGGGGCTAGTAAAGAACTGAGGATTGCCAGCACAGCACCCGGTTTTTGAGTTTACCTAAACTCTGTCCCCTTCCTTGCTGACTACACAGCTGTCAATGTTTTGCCATTTAAGAGCCAGTGCTGGCTAGGAATAACCAATATAGCTGCAGGCTGTGCTCTCATGATGACTTTTAGGTCATTATAATCTCATGATAATGCAATTACCATGGATGGCACACCCACTCCTGTCATGTACCCGATGCACGGTGTTTCCAAGATTTCCTCTTGTGTGCTGCAGCCCTACACGCAACACTTCACGCTTCTGATGCCATGGCACTTCTGAGATGTCCAGATTGGGTACGAAAATGAGCAGCATTCAAACCCTGCCTCCCAGCTCCTTTTGACCATCCAATCAAGCTCAGCCATCACTTTCTATTGCATCTGAGAGCATGAAACAGCAGCGCCCAAACTTGTGAAGTTCAGCGGTTCTTCCTCAGGTTGTCTGAACTCTCTTGCGAGTGTGCCCTTTCCCTCTGTCTTTAATAAATTTTGCTTCTCTGTTCATCCTTAACTTCTTTCTCATGTAGAGAAAAGAATGAGGACTAGATCTAGCTAGGTTCCCTCCTTCGCCCAACACTTGCAGCCCATAATAGTCATTTACTTGCCTGTTACTTAGCAACTTGTTATCCTATGACAGTTCTCTTTGCTAAAAATCTGTGACATTGTCTTTTTTTCAAGTCCCTCACTGAACTGGACAGACGTGGCTGAGGTCACACCTGTGACTATAGCCTGCAAAGATCATGTTAGATGGCACAGATCAAGTTAGTCCTGGGGGTTGTAGGATAGGTTTGTCTTGAGTAAGCTGGAAATTGGTCTGCCGGTCTTGTTCTATGTGTTGTCTTTAGACTATCAACATCATAAGGGAGTTTGTTAGAAATGTGGCCCCATCCCATACTTGTCAACTCAAGATTGCAGTTTAATGAGTCCTTAGCTGATTCCTATGTGACTAAACTTGAGAAGCACTGGAGCTTTGGTTCTCAAAGTATGTACAGGGGAATGGTAAAATGTAGATGTCTGAACCATACTTCCAGAGTGTCTGTGTTAGTGGGTCTGGGATGGGGCAAGAAACCTGTATTTCTTGCAGGTTCTCTGGTGATACTGATGCTGTGGGTTGGAGGGATCGCAGTTTGAGAACAACTGCTGTAAAGTCCAGAGCAGGCCATTGTGATGAAGGCAGGCTGGGCAAGTTCAGATTCTTGGGCTATCTGCCCCAAATCCACTGAACCAAGCACATGTGTTTTGTTGTGTCAACCTGTTCAATAACACAGGGTACTTTTCTACCTTCTCAAAGGAGCCTTTTTTTTTTTGCCTTTAGGAAAATAGTGTTTTAAAGTTTACCTTATGTGCGGTTTTTTTTTTGTAAAGTTTATTTTAGATATTTTTTGTTGCTATTGTAATTGATTTCCTTTTCCATTACATATATTTTGGTGATTTCTAATTATATGAAAAGCTATTGTTTTAATAACAGTTATTTCATCCTTTTCTACTGCATCTCCTATTGTTTGTAGAACATTTAAAAATAATCACTTTGCAATCCCTATGACATTTATTATGTAAAAGCAAGGTAAGGTCAGGCCTGTGCAAGTTGCTGCCACCTATGTATATTAGTGTCCCTAATAACGGCAACCAGGCAGTATGCCATGTCATGCAGGGTAAAGCTAACCACACAGTATTACCTATAATAGTTTGCCTTCTAAAATATTAAACCTGAAGCTACCAGTTTACAGGCAATGAAGTAACATTAAGTAAGATAATTAAAAATAAGGAAACTACCAGATAAATCTAGATTGTAGGACTTTCTAAAGGCGACTCAATCTTACATAGACCAATGGTATTAAAATAAAAATGAGGGAGGTGGGTCCAGCAGCTAAGATGCCAGTGATGACCCCTGTTTTCCATATCTGCAGTGTTTGGGTCTAAATTCTGGTTCTGCTCACAGTGCTTTCTGCGACGCAGCTCCAGGGAGGTGTAGGTGATGGCTCAAGTATTGGGCCACTGCCACTCACATGGGAGATCTGGATGTAGTTCCTGGGTTCTGGCTTTGGACTGGTCCAGCCTGAGCTGTTATGGATATTAGGGGCAGTGAACAGCTTATGAGTCCTCTGTCTGTTCCTTTCTATCACTTTGTAGCTCATATTAAAAGAAAGAGAGACATAAAGAAAGAGAGAGAAAGAGGGAATAAAAGCAAGAGATTTAACTAGAGTCAACATGTGGACTAGACAGATGATGGATAGATAGATGACAAGTAGATGGTTATATTTAAACAATGAATTGTAACATCATGTCCTTGAGATGTATAGGGAAATATAAATGAGTATTAGCTGATTTTAGAGATTTAGTAATTTTGATATGTTATAATGACATGTTAATTTATGTTTTTAAATAGATTTTTTTATCATTTACAGATGTATATCTTATTATCTATCCAGAAATTGCTAGATTCTAAAACCTTCTTTAAATGACTTTAGCAAAAGATAGAAGGGTTTTAGAAGCTGAAACAAGATTGGCAAATTATTAACCATTTGGAAGCTGGATGGCAGCAACAAATTATGAGGTTGCTCTTTCATATTTGTTTATACTCAAGAATTTTCATAATAGTTATGCAGCAAAATTAATGATGGGCACACTTTGGTTTTCTGGCTAACATTTCATCCATCACCTCCTGACTGGTACTAACTCTAATCTCATTCACAAGAGGGTCCACAGGAGAACAATTCCCTCAATTCTAACATATTCAAACTGCTTCACATTTTTCTCTACTTGAGTATATGTCAAAGACCGTTTAATTTTCTTTAGTACCTACGTGTTGCTGAACAGGGGTCACAACTTTATATTTAAGGTCCTCTTTTTTATGTTTTAGCTATTTAAAAAAATTATTAATTTGAAAGTCAGAATTATGTAAAGAGGATGAGAAAGAGAGGGGGAGAGAGACAGAGAATAAGAAAAAGAGAGGGAGAAAAAGAGAGAATCTTCCATGCACTGATTTACTCTGTCATTGGTCACAATAGCCAGGGTTGAACCAGGCTAGAGCCAGGAGTCAGGATCGTATTCCTGGTTTCCCACATGGATTCAGGAACCCAAGTACTTGGCATGTCTCACTGCTTGCCCAGACACACCAGCAAGGAGCTGGATTGGACCTGGAGCAGCCAACACTCAAACCAGAACCGATATGGGATGTTGGCACTGCAGATGGTGGCTTGAGTTGTTGTAGCACTGTCCTAGTCCCTACTTTTTATCTGTTACTAATATGATTTTTCGGTGTATATTCTCATGGGATTCCTTTTTTACAGTCTCTAAATCATCCTATACATGTTTTCACTTAGATCTTTAGGAAAAGTTT